AAAAAAAAACGTTGAAAAAAAAATTTAAATACTCTTCTCTTCCTTGGGCTCCATAGCCTTCATGGTTTCACTAACATCTCTACACTGATTACTTCCAAAATCTAGATACAATCAGTCTTGCAGTTGAAAAGGGTCTTAGACACCATATCCTTCAGCCTTCACCAGAAGAGATTCCTCCCACATCTTGACATCTGTTTCTAGAGGCCACTCCACCTCCACCCTGCCTTCAAATGAATGCAGTGAGAGACTAGGAGCTCAGTACTTAGAAAGGCATCCCATTCTTCCTGGCATTTGCATTTGAGTAGACTTGTAAAATGCCTTGCTCCTTGTGGATGAGTCTGCTCACTCTGTCCAGTGAAATTAGACACGCCTACCTGCTCTCTAGTCAACACAGATCTGCTCCCAAAACTTCTGCAGATCTTGGGGCCACCTCAGGGACCTCACAGAACTAGGCTGCCTGCACAGCGTAGACCCTTCTACCTCTCTGAAGGTAGATATGATCAACGAATTTTGAGGTATTAATCTGTGTTTCTCCTTTTGTATTTCCCCCTTTTCTTTTCTACCACTCATGCAGGTGGCAGGGTCGGGGCTTCCTTGTCTGCGGGGCAGGGGAGGGGGTGCTATGGCAGGAAATTGCCAGCTCTCCATTTCCCTTCCTGGGTTTTGTTTCCCAAAAGCCTAAATTGGTTGGAGAGATTTTGCTAACTGACTCAGGAAACAATAGAAGGTGGGGATGCTTTTAGATGCAACAAAAGCAAAGAGGAAGTTCCGTTAATAGCAACAGTAGGGGAAAAGAGGGAGACACCTCCTCTCCCCCAGACATAGAAGAGAAAGGAACTCTCCTGCCAATGTCCCAGAGAGGAAGTGCTTATCTAAAGATTCCCTGCCTTACCAAAGATTCTCTGTCCCAGATGAGGTTTGATGCAGTAGAATATCCATCCTTAAGGACCACATGGGCATGGCCAATGGTTGTCTGAACTGGAACTCCTCCCCACAACTCCCTCAACTTCCTCACCAACCCCCGCCCTACCCCACCCCCAGCCCCCAGCCCTGCCCAGTTGAGGTCTTTGTTCTGCCCTGAAGATATTTCTTGCACAGCAAAGTTGGGGCCAAAGATTCACCTGCACTACACAGCTCTGTGCAGAGGTAGAGAGGCATGGAAAACAGAGCTTTGTTGGAGTCAGACAGATCTAGGGTTGAATCTTGGGGCTCATTTACTAATTGTCACCTCCAACAAATTTCTTAGTCAGGGACTTAGCTTCTTTCCCTTCTAGAAAGCAGGGATAGTGTTATCTACTAGAGTACTCTCAGATTTCCTGGAAAATTTGCTGTGATGAGTGCAGTCAGCAGAAACCCCAGGATGGGGCTTAGGGGACCTTGGCACCTTCCAGAACCACTACAGCATTCAAGCCAAGGCCATGCTCTCCACAGGCTGCTCCTAGCCAGTGTCTGAGCACAGCATGGGGACTAGAGCCTGGACATTTCTGCCAACATGTGACAAACATGCAAGAAATCTGCATCTCAGTCTGAGGCTCCTTCTATCCATTTCTCCTTCCTTCCTCCTTTCCTTTCATGAGATCAGACTTAACGTCTGATCAGAAGGCTCTCCCGCCTTGTTCTGCCCCCTTTCTCAGGCATTTTCTCCAATCAATTTTCAGTTCTAATTCCATTTAGGTGGCTGCTTCCCAGAAGACCCAAATTGATACAACTCTACATAAAACTATTCTAAAAATTGGAAACAATAGCATAGTTCCTAGCTTTTGGTAACTGTTCGATAAAGATTAACATCCTTTAGCTGGGAAAGATTATAGTCAGGGCTGGGTAATACATTCTTCAATATACATGCAGTGCTTTAATCATACATTCCATTTTGCAAGTGGACTTCATTCATAGGCCATGTGTAGTGACGCTTCTTAACATAGCACTCCAGGGGCGCCTGGGTGGCGCAGTCGGTTAAAAGCGTCGACTTCAGAGTCAAGCATCTCGCCGGTATGAGTTCGAGCGCAGGCTCCTCTGGCTGATGGCTCAGAGCCTGAGCCTGCTTCTGATTCTGTGTGTCTCCCTCTCTGCCCCCCTTCATGCTCTGTCTCTCTCTGTCCCAAAATAAATAAAACGTTGAAAAAAAATTAAAAAAAAAAAAAAAAAAAAACACAGCACTCCAGCTATCCAAATTATCTGTGGACAGGTAACCAGGCGTGTATATAGGTGGGTGGGACTGTGAGGGCAGGAAACTGGCTTTGACACCAGATAGATCTAATCTAATCCTAATTTGCTGTGTGACCTTAGTAAAATCATTTAACCTCTCTCTCTCTTCAGTCGCTTCATCTACAAATGCGGATAATATTGCCTACTTTACTAAATAACAGTGAAGATTAGAGATAATCTATGTAAAGCATCTAGCACAGTATCTGGCCTATCCAATAAAAGGATGCATCATACTCTTATTGCCTTTCATTCACTCACTCGTCAAAAAAAATATTTACCGTGGGCCTACCATAACAAAGGACTGAGACAAAACAGTAAAACGGACAGGGACAGATCCTTACAGAGCCTGACAGGTTAGGCATGGCACAATGCAAAGTACATCCAATAATTATAACAGAAACACCTAGATGGTGCTTAGTATGTGCCAGTCCCTGTTCTAAGAGCTAAGAGTCACTCATTGAATCTTTATACCAACCCAGTGAGGTAGATACTTGCTGAAGATTACATAACTAGTGTGGACTTGAACACAGGCAATTTGGCTCCACAGTCCATACTTTTTATAGCTATGCTGTATTGCCTCTCTAAACATCTGAATTAGATTTTATGCTTCCACAGAGCATAAATGATCCTTACACAAGTATATGAAAAAATCTAGTGAATCAAATCAGTAGGAAAGACAGTTATTTCCTTTAGACAAACACAGGCACAGAAGTAGTAAATCAGCTGAGCAGGAGGAGACACTGATCAGCCACTGGTGACCCATATGATAGCAGTTATGTCCCCCAACACCCACCAAAATCTCTGCCATTTTCTTGGCTTCCAACTCAGCAGCTGTTTTCTGGCAATGGCACTAGGAGTAGAGTTGCTATAATATGGTTTTTCATTTTTCTTAACCCTGACTTCTTCTTTATCTGCTATAACCACAGGGCTCTTCTTGTTCCCATAAATTCTCAACCTTCAAGGTCCTATCTTTTCTGCCTACTGGAACTTCCTGGCAGAAAAGTTAAAGAAAAGTCAAATCAGTATGTTTTATTTTTCTTCTCTGTTCATAAAAGTGCCGACATGACTGGATTAAGTAGTTTGCTGAGTGTTTGCGAGGTAATCAAGGTAGCAGGCAAGGACATCAGACGCTGAACACTAGGTTTAGTTCTTACTACATGGCAGACACCCCCCGTTTCTGGATGCCTGAATGTAGCCAACATGACAGCAGCAGTTTGTTTGAAAAATACCTTAATGTTTACGACAACATGTCATTACCATCTTTCTAGAACAAAAATGGCAATGGTAACATGAAAACAAACAACAACAACAACAAAACCACCACTCTCTCCTGTCTAGGCAAGAATGATTATGACTAAACACGATGGTACTTACTGGGGGGCATTGTGCAAGTTTATCAGCTGCCACCAGTTGAACATTTAAGTGTTTACTTTGGGACTTTCCTCTAGATTTAATCAACCGCTGTAAAACCTGATAGAAGACATAAACCAACAAGTTAAAAGAAAACTAAAAAAAAAAGACAAGATCTTTTAAATAGTCTGTTTAAGCCCTGAGTATTAATAGAAAAGAAATACAATATGAAAAACCATATATATATATATATAAACTCTGTAATGACATCACCCACTTACACTGGCTCTCAGTTATAGTGGATTTGATAGGTTCATCCTATTCTCGCTCCGTGTGAGGCCTTGGTGGGATCTTGAGTTCCCGCCCTAGATTTTACCCAGAGAGTTCAAAGAGAGCCCTGCAAAAGTGGAGGAACTGATCTGTACCAGGTCATTTATGTCCATATTCAGTTGAGTAATATTTTAGTTCACTATCTCAATGTCAGATAAATATCAGTCATTTATATATTTGGTTCTTTTGGTCACTGATAATTATTAAGGTGTTCCAGTTTAACTTTACATTAATAAGAATGATTTTATGATAGCAATCTAGGCAAAACATTTGCACTGGCATATTGCTACATATAAACCAGTGAATATCTGTTCTATAAATGCTATAACCGCATTTGCCATATACTCCCCTCTCCCTTACTTTTTTAAGCTGAAACAGGGTTCTTCCCCCAAAACAGTACTAGTCAGTGAGGCTCTATGATAACTCAGTGCATATATCCATAGGTACCCCTGTTCCTACACTTAATGACCCCATGGTGACTGGCGCAGGGGTGATGGAGGTTGAAATCTATTCTACTGCAGTGAAGGATGCTTGAATCTCCTTCAGTTCTGGGCCAAATAGACCTCCAGGTGGTCAAGGCAATTTCAATCCATTCTAATGGTTCTCCAAAGGCCCAGGTTTGGTCAGGATCCCCAAATCCATCCTGTGCAGAACCAGTGCCCAGAGAGATGGAAAGCTGAGGGGTTGGGGAAGGGCACAGCTTCTCTAGACATTCTCCACCTGTGAGAGATGACTGGTTGGAAGCTGAATTGGCATTTTAGCACTAAACTGCACTCTTGGAGGCATTGAAAATAAACTAATTATTAAGCTTGTACCTCTCTAGAATATCTATTTCACATTACTTATTACAGTATCATCTACCTTTGCAGCATAAAGACACATGGCAGATATCCCATTGTGTTTAATCACAGTGTATCTTATTCCTTAAAGAAGCCAATCTAAGCATATATATACACACATCAATTACTTTTCCATAATAGATTCTCTACAGTAATGTTTGACTCTATACACAATAAATGTAGATTCCTTTCTTGAATTACATACTCTCTCAACTGGGGAGAGAAGATAGGTGTTACAAGAATCAATACTACTCAAGACATTTACTAGGACAGAACATAAGTCTCTGAAAGGCCATACTTTACTTTTCCTCACCTTTCTTAATCTTTTGTTTCTATTTTGCTCTTGCATAACTGCCCAGTTGGGGAACCACAACAGACAGGGAACTTCTTTAAAACAATGGCTATTCTTTATTTGCTATCTTAGGATTTCTAGAAGCTGTACAGACTACAGGAATTAAAAAGGGCCTCAAATGTGGAGAAACGGGAACCCTCTTGCACTGTTGGTGGGAATGCAAACTGGTACAGCCACTCTGGAAAACAGTGTGGAGGTTCCTCAAAATAAAATAGATCTACCCTATGACCCAGCAATAGCACCTTAGAATTTACCCAAGGGACACAGAGTATTGATGCATAGGGGATTGTACCCCAATGTTTATAGCAGCACTCTCAACAATAGCCAAATTATGGAAAGAGCCTAAATGTCCACAACTGATAGAATGGATAAAGAAATTGTATTTATATCACAATCGAGTACTCACGTAAGGGAAAAAATGAAATATGGCCTTTGTAGAACGCGGATGGAACTGGAGAGTGTGATGCTAAGGAAATTCATGAGAGAAAGACAGATACCATTGGTTTCACTCTTATGGTGGATCCTGAGAAACTTAACAGGAACCCATGGGGGAGGGGAAGGGAAAAAAAAAAAGAGGTTAGAGTGAGAGAGAGCCAAAGCATAAGAGACTCTTAAAAACTGAGAACTGACAAGTTGAGTGGGGGGTGGAGGGCGGAGGGTAGGTGATGTATTGAAGAGGACTCTTGGGATGAGACTGGGTGTTGTAGGTAGAAACCACTGACACAAATTCATACATATTAAAATAAATAAATAAATAAAATTTAAAAAAATAAAAAGGGCCTCAATAAGATACTGTCCTTACTCATGAACAAAAAAAGCACAGAGCAAAGACTATTTCAAAAGAAATGAGCTTCTAATTCTTAAGGCAGAAATGAGGTAATTACCTTTGGAGATGAAACTTTAACATGAACAATAATTGGCGCTAAAGAAGTCTTTATAAGTTGTGCTGGGTGATTGATGGTGTCTGCGTCAAGAACAACCAGTTGCAAAGATCTTGCCAACTCAAAGATTCTTTCAATTTCACTTTGCACTTCCGCTAAAAGGAGAAATAATAAACAACAGGACATGGTTATTTTTATTAATTAGTTCTTATATGTAAAACCATTTAAAACCATTTGGATGTTTGTCTATATTGCACAACAGAACATTCTGAATTTCATGCTTCTGTTAACTTAAGATCTTTCCTAAAGAGAGAGAGATGGGTTGAGTTTTTCATAAAACCAAAAAATTGGTGAAAAAAAATTGAAATGGCTCTCTTGACTCACTTCTTACACTTGCCCTGATATTCAGCTAATTATATAGCTATGTTGTTTTTGATTATTGCTTTGTTCCAAAGAACTTTTATTTTAGCTATAAAAGCTAAAACCACAATTAGGAAAGAATTGAAATACATGCAGAGCAACATTGCATAGAAAGCAAATTATACTGAAATATTCCAGCTAAGCAAGAATTTATATATTGATATTTTGTGAATATGTTTTTTAAAAAATCCCACAATTCATCTGTTTTGACTGATGTGCACATTTTTGTATCCAGGGTTAAATGTTCTGGGTCTACACTTATGTTAACAAACTGCTACACTTTAATTCAAGTATTAGGGCCAGTACACTTGTTCTAAGGCATAATCTTCAGCATTAAAAAGAAAAACAACTGAGGCCAATTATATTATAAATGCTGCAATGCCTTGAGAATGCAAACCTATTCAATTGGCTGTAACAGCCAAGTGACTGAAATCTCTGTGTGAATCTGGTCGAATAAAAAAATCTAGTTATTTGTCTGAAGTACTCTAGCTATTTTTAAAGCAAAGCAGATTACCTATAAAAACATAATACGTCTTTCTAAAACATAAAAAACTTTTTCACATATGTTTTATAAATCATCTGACTTACTGGGTCATGTCTAAAGTCTGAATTAGACTACTTAATTTTCAGAGAGATGATCTTATTTTGCTTTTTACTTACTTTTATTTTTGGCCTATTTATTACAGGCATGACCCAGCAATGTTGTAATCTCATTTAAATTACACAGAGCAAACAAGTTACCTAATTTAAATAACTTCAAAGATGGCCTAAGTAAGAGGTGATGTTGCTCTAAAAATAACTCTAGAAGAGTTTCTACCACAATGTTGTGATTTGTTTTGCTTATCCAGTATACATTCAAGTTCACGTCACCCACCACAAGCCAAAACCTTCCATAACCAAACATACGGACAAGGTGTGTGGGATCATGGATGTTCAAGACTATCATGTAACTCTAATTTGGGGGGCTTTGCATAATAGCATAAAATTCTGACTTCCCACCAAATCACTGATGTTTAATGCATGATTTGTATTAGAAATATGAATTTAGAGAGTCAACATAGCAATCATTGTTCATATCATCCAATTCCAATGGTCTGAAAGATGTCATGTTACTTTGGACTGTGACTGGCTCTCAAGGTATTTATGTAAAGAATCTGGGGCGCCTGGGTGGCGCAGTCGGTTAAGCGTCCGACTTCAGCCAGGTCACGATCTTGCGGTCCGTGAGTTCGAGCCCCGCGTCAGGCTCTGGGCTGATGGCTCAGAGCCTGGAGCCTGTTTCCGATTCTGTGTCTCCCTCTCTCTCTGCCCCTCCCCCGTTCATGCTCTGTCTCTCTCTGTCCCAAAAATAAATAAACGTTGAAAAAAAAAATTAAAAAAAAAAAAAAAGAATCTGGACAATTAGGCTTATTTGCAAAATTCTTCTGAAGTCACCTAGTACATTTGTCAATAATAAATAACATACCCATTCCTTTTTTCTCACATGTCAAAAACACTTTTTTAAAAAAAGAGATCTTTCTTATGAGAGAAGTTCAGAAAATAAATTTTATTTTTATTGTAGTATATTTCAGCCTCAGGCTGTTGGGGTGTGTTCTCCATTTGTTGTTGTCATTAAATTGACACTGGTTTAAGGTAACTCCTGGCCAGGACTGTTGTAGAACAAGTCTGCATTGCTTTAAGTTTCAAATCTGAATACAACATTTTGTCAAGTAGCAAAATGGCAGTGAGGCAAACTGGACTGCTCTGGTATAAAGAACCCTTGAGACACACTGTGTAAATAACTCAGAAATGCCTGGGCCTTATTTACTCTACACCAGCAATGAGATAAGTGTGGTTTTTGACCTGTGAGGAGGGCAAGCACATCCACAGCTTAGGCAACACAAAACTCTTAGGCAATGGCATTCCAGCACAAGTGGAGAGGTGCTCAGGCAAGCAAGCCAGGAGGCTGCAGACGGCCACACTATATACTAGAGTGGGTCCCTATGTGGATAATAGGTATATAGAATTCAATACCTAAACTGTCTGAGAAAGAGAATGGCATATGTATCTACATAGCTCATTTTCTTAAAAACTTGGAGCAAGCCCAGCAATCCTGACTTTCCATGCTGATTCTCAGAAGGTTCCACAGGAAGTTTCACCATGATCTTACTACAGACAAATGGGGCTCTGAGAAATTTGGACTATGATGCTGGAGGGACCTCAATGAACACTTCTATAACTTGACCACGACTGATCTAGATCCACTTCTCTCTAGCATCTCTGACACCTGTGATCTTTCTTATATCCAAATGCTTAAACTACTTCAATGGCTCCTTTGGGTTCAAAACAACATTGCCCAAAGTGAATACCCTGGAACACTAATCCCGTAAGATATCCTGAGGGAAAAAAGAGATTTTTTTTTTTTTTTTTTTGCAGGCTATAATAATTTCTTTTGGAATTTCAAACATGCATTACCCTTTGTATCTTAATGGCTCTTCGAAGTCTTGCAGTAAAGAAACCTGCCAATTGTTTAATCCAAATATCCAAATTTATCTGACTGAGGAAAATGTTTGGATGTAACAACTATTAGTATCTTTTAGAACCCACATTTCATAGAATCTACCTTGGAGGAGGTTTCTTTAGCAAGGCATACTAGAGCCCTAACATACTAGCCTCAACATACTTTTTCAGTCTCTTTCCCTGTTGCTCTCAAACCATGCCACCCACTCTCTTTTTTTAAGTATGCTGTGCACAAACTATTTGTTTATCACCTACACAGTGTTTTCTACATGTTGATGCCTTTGGACATTCTTGTCTTCCATGAAGAACCAGCTCAAATATAACTTCTTCGAACTCTTCTCTTTCACCTCTTACTCCCTACGCTTCTTTCTTTATACCCCTAGCTTTTTGTTCATAAATCTATTATCAGACAGTATTTTAACCACCTGTCCCTTCTTTCTGTTGGCTTATAGGTAAGACACTTTGTCTTTAGTTATGTTTGTACTTACTAAGTCTGGCGTAATTTGTGGCATATAACAATAACCATGTGATGAGGAAATCTACAAATGTGCATGAACAAGCAGGCAAATGGACATAAGTGGCTCACATAGGGATTATTATAATAGATTTCCATTAAATTAATTCCAACGGCTATAGGTGTATGAATTTACAAAGCAAAGGAAAAAACCAGTGAACTGACACTGCCTTGTTTCTTCATCAATATTTACACTAGCTCCACTCCACTGACTGAAACAGGTGACTAGATTACACAGAATGACTTCAAAGAATGTCCATGAAACCCTTGGCTGGTATAGATGGTTAGAGTCAGGCAACCTCACTTATGCACCTAAGTGTTTTTTAGCCTCTCATTATTTATCAGAAGAAGAAGTAATTAAAAGTCAAAGGCACTTTGTGGAGTGAGGAGAGTGGAAGAGGGAAGAACAGAGAACAGATGCTTGTTCAAGAAATCTTCAGTCTAACTTTTCCAAAGAAGACATCCAGATGGCCAACAGACACACGAAAAGATGCTCAACATCACTCATCATCAGGGAAACACAAATCAAAGCCACACTGAGATATCACTTCACACCGGTCAGAGTAGCTGAAATGAGCAAATCAGAAAACAACAGATGCTGGTGAGGATGTGGAGAAAAGGGAACCTTCTTGCACTGCTGGTGGGAATGCAAACTGGTGCAGCTACTCTGGAAAACAGTGTGGAGGTTCCTCAAAAAATTAAAAATAGAACTACCCTATGACCCAGTGATAGCACTACTAGGAATTTACCCAAAGGATATATATATATAGGAGTGCTGATACATAGGGGCACTTGTACCCCAATGTTTATAGCAGTACTTTCAACAATAGCCAAATTATGGAAAGAGCCTAAATGTCCATCAACTGATGAATGCATAAAGAAGATGTGGTTTATATATACAATGGAATACTACTTGGCAATGGGAAGGAATGAAATCATGCCATTTGCAGCAATGTGGATGGAACTGGAAGGTATTATGCTGAGTGAAATAAGTCAGTCAGAAAAGGACAGATATCATATGTTTTCACTCATATGTGGATCTTGAGAAACTTAACAGAAGACTACATGGGAAGGGAAGGGGGAAAAATAGTTACAAACAGAGAGGGAGGGAGGCAAACCACAAGAGACTCTTAAATACAGAGAACAAACTGGGGGTGGATGGGGGAGGGTGGCGGCGAGGGGAAAATGGGTGATGGGCATAGAGAAGGGCACTTGTTGGGATGAGCACTGGGTGTTGTATGTAAGCCAATGTGACAATAAATTATATTCATAAAAAAAAAGAAATCTTCAGTCTAATTTGGCATCCTTGTCTCTCACAGTATTTAACTTTAGTCACCTAATCTGATTCATCATCATCAACTCTTCCATTGTTACCACCTCAAGGTCAAAATTACTGTCTCTTTAAGAGTGTTTCACTCAGCATGTGAGGGATCTAAATACAAAACTAAGGAAAGAACCACTGATGTCCAAGCTCCTGCCTTCACAAGAACAAACAACTATTCATTTGGTACGTTTAACATTCTTTTTATAAAGCAACCATGCAGCAGACATTTATTGAACAATTACCATGTGCCAATCCCATGCTAGGAATATACAGATGATACTTTGTAGCCTGTTTGCAATCTGTACAATTCTTAGTGCAGGGCCAAGGTATAGCCTTCAATGAATTCTCGATGGGATGTTTAGGCATGCAAGTGATCTTGGAATTTTTTTGTTTTCTATCATCATCTCAGTAGTTTAAGAAAATATAGTGACAGAGAAGACCCTTATCTTTCCCACTCTGCCCATAAGGGAGGAGGTAGCAAAACAAACTGCCCTCAGAATGTGAATGCAAAGCAGACTCCTAGAAAGTTATAAGTGGACTGCACCACTCTTGGCAATCATAGAAACCACAAACAGGCTTTTGAGATGAAAGTCATGATTGCCCAGCAGTGTGGACTTGTTTGTGTGGATGGTAATTCCATCTTCCACAGCCCTGCTCATAACATGGTGTTATGTAGCTAACAATATAAGGTGTTCTTCCATTTTCCATCATGGTGAATTTCATAATTCTTTCTAACTAGTGCTCCAGGAAAGACACATTTAAACTCCCTACATGTTATTAATGCTCATTGCTATTTCCACTTAAAGATGTGACTGTTCTGGATACTACCAGCTAGCAGCAGAAGCTATACTAAGACACCGTTATCTAGCTTTCTTCTAAAGATCTGAGAAAGTTGAACATCTCATTTCTTTTCATGTCAGCTGCAACTCAGGTATGGCATATCATTAGCATCACTGAGAAACTTGGGCAGAGTAGAGATGAGTGCTTTCACGTGGTTAGGCAGTAGCGGACCAGGGGAGCCCAAAGGGTTCTTCCCACCAGACTACTGATTAACTAATTGACTAGAGCTGAGACAGAGGAGGCTCTGGCTGTTGAAGGAGTCTGCTCCCTTCTTTTCCATGATAGCATTCTCTTCAGTTAATCAGCACTTCCCCATTCAGAATGGGGAGAAGACTGGAAAAGACATTCACAAGTGAACCATGTGTCATCCCACTCCGAAAACACAGCTTGGAGAAGTACCATATTTGAACATCTTACCTAAGCTGGACCGAGTGTTCGAACGTTCAATTATTGCTCGCTTGCTGGGATTATTTAGGACAGACCTCTTAGCAAGAGAAATGTCAGCTGTCACTCTTGTTATTGATATCCTATGAATAGGAACACAGAACAGAACAAGCCAGTAGAAATGTTATGGGGCTCTCAAGTGATTTATAACCACAGTATTTAGTAACCACTTTACATACTGCATTGCAACCACAGTATAATAAACATCGCCACAAGTATTTTAAATAGGCTTTGGCTAGTATTAAAAATATAAGTCAGGTATAATGGGGGAAGGTTCTGGCTATTTAACCAAAACAAAAAGCAAACCTGTGGTTAAAAACAAAGCTCTTCCTCCACTACTGTCTAGCTTGTCAAATTCTCTTTATAACGCACACCACACCAGGAGGGAATCAAAATATGTGAATAAACATGCTCTTTCTAGGAAGCATCAATACAATTTCCCTACACTTCACAGTTGATTTGCTCTTGAATAAGACCTTCAGGAACTGCAAATGTTCTGCCCAGGCATATCAACCAGAGGGGAAAACCCTGTTCATTTTCATCAACACTCAACCAGTTGGTAGTGATGTTGTATTCCTGATGCCTAACAGTTAATTCATGATACAAGAAGCATCTCTCCACGAGCCCAAAGGAATGTTTCATTTCGAAGAATATGGAAAATATGACTTCTATTCTGCCTGCACAAGATCCGTCAGCATATTTGCTTAGGACTTTGAATGCATAAAGTGGAAAGACATAAGACACTATAGTTGAGGGCAATGTGAGGATTGCGCCAGGATTTTGGCAAGTCAGAAAGTTTCCTGCAGTTACACAAGAGAAGAATAAAGCAGAGAAGTTGCAGATGAACAAAGAGAGGAGTCCATATGCATATGATTTATCAAATGAGAATCTCTGGAATTTACAGCCTTAAAAATCTTTATTTTAAACCGTGACTGATGAATTTCAGGTTATTATCTACCTGTAGAATGCAAAGCATGCCTCTCTAAGCCAGTTACTGCCACCATGGACCTTTCCCCATTCTCATTTTCAGAGCTTTGGCAGAGTTCTAGAATGGAGAGAAGAGAGTAGTGCCCCTTCCTTTTTTGCTCAGTGCACCCATTTGCCTTCATTTTTATATTCCTTTGGCGACTGGTGCAGGGAAGAGGTAGAGTTGATGTCAATTACTGAGTCATAGTTTTGGTATACTATCAGCACTCTCAGGAGACTCTTCACCTGACTTCAGTGACCCAAAGCCTTAAGGAAAATTTAAAGTATTCCTTGTCACAAATGGTTCTTTAAAGCTATACAGGCTATCTAAAAGTTCTGATACCATTTTAACGCAAAGCACCTTCTTGTGTCATTGTATTTATATGCTGTAGATGGTCAGTGAGTTTTAAACTCTTAATGTTTTTAGAATTTTTAGTCACTAATAAATCATTGGAGTCATCTTCATATTATCTTCTACAGAAACCAAGAGTTTTGTGAAATACCTCTGGGCCACTGAGAACACCAAGGGGAGGCTGAGTTGGCAGACCTCCAACTTTCCTACCTTCCATGTCAGGCAAACGCCTCTGCATTTCTGTTTTCTACATTGGGGCTTTATATATGATTTCCTTGTAAAAAGCTGCCCAACTGCTAAAAGACATTGGAAAACACTGGTCAAGTACAACTGCTTCATTTTACCAAGAAAACTGAGACACAGAGAGGAAGTTCCACATGATTAGTTAGAGACTAAGAAGACCTGAAACACAGGACCCCAAGCACCAGGCCAATCCTTAGTCACCTGAGTGATGATAAGTCTCACAGAGCTTCAGTTTTCTTCTCCAGCAACCCCAAATCCCCAGATGTAAGCCAAATCATCAAGTGCAGATGCAATCGATCTTGGCCATGTGCAGAGAAGTGGTCAGGACTTTAGTCAGCTTAAAGTCAAGGGAATCCCATGTCTGAGTCTGCATTACTCAGTTGGCTTTTGCAACTTGAAGTATGAAATCTCATAGGCATCCTGTGTTCACAGCTTCTTTAATTTACAGAATAGAGATTGCTCATTTATTTTTGTGTGTTTGTTTATTTGTTGTTTTAAGGACAGAGTTGTTTGTTAGAAACATACAGTCAAGTTCCAGAGCAATTCAAATACATGACTGGAGGTGAATGGGTTAAATTAGGAACAGAATTCAACTTTCTAAAATAAAGACTTTTGAAGGGCCCAAAAAGTCTATTCTGCTTATGGGAGATCAAAATTTGTAGTTCTATACAAGCCAAATAGTGAGTCTTGGTTCTTAAAATTTGAAAGGATTACCACCATACCATCACATATAGAGTTTTATAAGTTTTTACAAGTTTTACAAAAAACCAAGCAAACAAACAAAATAATAAGACACACACACACCTGCTTCATATATTCTCCAAACAGAAAAAGGTATGGACAATACAGGGTTCTTTTTCTTGTTTTATTTGTCACCAAAATACCAGCGAACTTGTTAATACAAGTTATTTCTTTTAAATTTTTTTTAATGTTTATTTTATTTTATTTTATATTTTTTGAGATAGAGACAGAGCATGAGGATGGGAGGGGCAGACGGAGGCGGAGACACAGAATCTGAAGCAGGCGCCAGGCTCTGAGCTGTCAGCACAGAGCCTGATGTGGGGTTTGATCCCACAAACCATGAGATCATGACCTGAGCCGAAATGGAAAGCTTAACTGACTGAGCCACCCAGGCACCCCAATACAAGTTATTTCTTAATAAAAGTACACATGCATGCATGAAGGAGCTCAGGACAAGATAGACACAGCCCCAGAAACCCTTCAGTAAGACAAAGCAGAGTTTTCTGTTTTCTACTGCAAAGATGCTTACTATTATCAAAATAAAAAACCAAACCCACACTTTTTTTTTTGGTAAAAGACTCTCCAGAAATAGAATTGAATACTTCTAGTTTATATACTTTTTTTAGTTTTATATACTTAAAAAATATTTTATATACTATATATTTTTATATACTAGTTATATATTTCTATTACTTTTTTTAACTTAAAAAAATGCCCTTTCCACTTCTTTTCTTGCTGTACTCATTCCCTCCAGTACTTCCACGCATCTTGTTTGATGTATGTTTTTACGAAGTTTCCTAGGAAACTTTTCTGTGACATAGTGTTAGTAGTTACTGGCTGGTCGATTAATGCTAACAGAAGTTCAGCTCCTCAGCAAACTGGGTTTAGTAGCAAATGTCACTGAAAACTAGCAAAAATTGTTCTCTAACTCTAGCAAATCTGAACCCCACCTGTTCTTTATTTCTGTTTTCGAATTCATCATAATTGCCCCAATCTATCATGACCTATGAGTATTAGTTTTTTTGAGAAAAGATATTACTTTCAGTTATAACATATCCATTCAAAAATAATTGTTATTTCCATATTGGTTCAGAATGGCTATAAGGTCCTTCTATGCTCTATCCTTGCTACATCTAATATGCAACACTGTTAGTACATTAATTAAAAAAAGATAACTCCTAGTATTCCTAGAGAAGAGTATTCCAAAGAGCAGAACAGTGCACTGTCAAGAGAATTGGGATGGAGGGCCTACATAGACCTGAGTATTCTTCCTGGATATTGCTCTTGCTGGTTGTGTGAGCATGGACAAGTCAGATTAGCATCAGAATCCTAATCAACAAAATGGTGATACTGGTCAAAATAGCTAAAATTAACAACTCAGGAAACAACGGATATTGGTGAGGATGTGGAGAAAGAGGATCTCTTTTGCACTGCTGGTGGGAATGCAAACTGGTGCAGACACTCTGGAAACTGTGTGGAGATTCCTCAAAAAATTAAAAATAGAACTACCCTACGACTCAGCAATAGTACTACTAGGCATTTATTCAAAGGATACAGGAGTGCTGATTCATAGGACACATGTACCCCAATGATTATAGCAGCTCTATCAACAACAGCCAAATTATGGAAAGAGCCCCAATGTCCATCAACTGATAAATGGATAAAGAAGCTGTGATTTACATGTACAATGGAATACTACTTGGCAATGAGAAAGAATGAAATCCTGCCATTTGCAATAATGTGGATGGAACTGCAGGGTATTATGCTAAGTGAAATAAGTCAGAGAAAGACAGATATCATATGTTTTCACTCATATGTGGAATCTGAGAAACTTGACAGAAAACCATGGGAGAAGGGAAGGGAAAAAATAGTTTTAAACAGAGAGGGAGGCAAACTGAAGGTTTAAGGGGGGCAACAGGGGGAGGGGAAAATGGGTGATGGGCATTGAGGAGGGCACTTGTTGTGATGAGCATTGGGTGTTGTATACAAGTGATGAATCATGGGAATCTACTTCTGAAGCCAAGAGCACACTGTATACACTGTATGTTAGCTAACTTGACAATAAATTATACTTAGAAAAAAATAATAAAATAAAATAAAATAAAATAGTGATAGCAGCTTTGCCAAACTATCTTCTGGGACTGCCAGTAGGGGCAAACGAGGTAATATACAAAAGTGCTTTGTTAACCTAATATATAGAAGACAATTACTGCAGATTTGAAGACTTGAAGGGGACAGTTTCTTTATATTCTGTCCTCAAAAAAAAGCAGTCTACCATGAACTCTCCTACCACCAGAGTCCATGGAATTTATATAGACTTTAAGGGGAGGAGAATCAGGTCAGACGTGTTGTAATCAAAACCTGCTAATTTAAGTATTCATGTTTGGCATTAAAGTGTTCAATTACTTATCTCTAGTGTTTGACCACTGATGAGTCTCCACCTGAAGAGAGAGAATGGTAGAAGGAGACAATAAGAGGGTGATATTGACTTTGAAACAGAAGGTGCTGTGTTGTTCTTTTCCATTTGTTGACGGCAGTTACAAGGTGTTTTGATTCTGCCATGACTTGGCTGCTCTGTTGATAGCATCAAGGGTTCCCATTGCTGTTTATGAACAAACATTATCTCTCTGAGTCTCCTAAGTTGTAATCTCAGCTTCTTTTCTTCAAATTCTTCCTCAAACCCTTTTAAAAAAGTATTCCCCCTCCCTTTATTTTTATTTTGGAAAGAGAGAGAGAGCGAGGGAGTGTGAGAGGCAGAAGGGCAGAGGGAGAGGGAGAGAGAGAATCTCAAGCAGGCTCTACCCCAGTGCAGAGTCCTGACACAGAGCTCGAACTCAGGAACCATGAGTTCATGACCAGAGCCAAAATCAAGAGTCAGACGCTTAACTCACTGAGCCACCTAAGTGTCCCTCAAACCCTTTTTTCCTTCGAGTGGCCTTTGGCTAATAACTTCCTTTAACTTCAGATTTTATCTATATAGATTACAGGATGTTCATTTAGGATTTTTGGCCACGATCATGTCAATTACAAAGTGTTCAGTAATTGCCATAGAGCTGATCTGATCTAGTCATCAAAATGCCTAAAGCCAGCAATTTTATTGGAATTTGAAACGATTAGCATAGTTCAACAAATGGCAGTTGGTTGGACTGCCTGCTGTTCTATGAATGGTATATTCAACCAGCTGAACAAACCTCATCCCAAAGGATGATCCCCAATGAATGTTTGTGGTAGAAAATGAAGAGAGAGGGGCGCCTGGGTGGCGCAGTCGGTTAAGCGTCCGACTTCAGCCAGGTCACGATCTCGCGGTCCGTGAGTTCGAGCCCCACGTCAGGCTCTGGGCTGATGGCTCAGAGCCTGGAGCCTGCTTCTGATTCTGTGTGTCTCCCTCTCTCTCTGCCCCTCCCCGGTTCATGCTCTGTCTCTCTCTGTCCCAAAAATAAATAAACGTTGAAAAAAAAATTTTTAAAAAAAAAAGAAAAAAGAAAATGAAGAGAGAAAAGTTCCACATCGTTGTGAACCCTGTGTGTTCACCAGGCTGATGCCATCGTACCAGCTGGTTAGGCTCATCTAATTTACGATCTGTGCACAGGCACTGTCACCACGTGTGGATATGCACATGGACGAGGGTTCCTCAGGAACTATTTGGTACTATGCTTTTCATATTTCTTCCGCATATTACAGTTAGGCCCTACAGTAGCAATCATGGCGATAAAACTGTCTAATAAGCAGCTCTCAACGGACCCAAATAATTTCTAAGGTATCAAAAAAGGGCAAGTATGTGATTTTGTAACAATCAAGCTACTGGACTTTAATCCAATTTGTTGAATTACTGTCTAACCAGGATCTGGAAAACAGTACTGAAGAAAGCCTCTTAGCCAATGGATCCATTTTTTTGCTCTTTCTGGAAAATAATAAGACTTTCTCTTGACTATTTTGTCTAACCTACTACATTCATAGCCAGTGAAACACTGAGTGGGTTTTCATTAGAACATACTGTTTATGCTGTATCACTGTGCTATAGCCTTCTGTGTAATTGTTCTCTTGGCTGGTTTCAGTTAAAGACTATTTGTTGTTTTCACTCTCTTTATTAATTGGTAAAACATAATACAGCAGATTGTCATAGCTCAAAATGTAAGGCTATTTCCCACACAGCAGATGTGTCAGAGTCGGCGTGAAGCTACAAGCGCATGGCTTCTTCCTTATCAAAGTCTCTACATACCCTCAACTAATAAATTCATTACTGGTTTTTCTGCAGCACTGTCCTCTTATTATCTGAAAGCAAGTCCACTCTGCTACTCCCACCTTTACTGTCTATCTTCTATCAACTCTGCCATAAATCAGAGCTCTCCAGCACCGAGTCTCTTTCTCTGGCTATTACTTTGGCTGCTGCTGAAATCTTCCTTTTATCTCTAGATCCTCTGTTGTGCCATCAGACCATATGGAACACTTGGCGTTGACATTTCAATCCTATTTCTACTAAAACCATCTTCAACAATGTGTATAAATGCTTGATGCAGCAACTTTACCTGACTCAAAACAAATCTCTGCTGTTACAATCAGATGCACTTCCTCTTTCTGGGCCTGAAAATTGAGGAAGAACCTCAGATGCTTCATTCTTGAAAGTAGTAATTAAGCCATTCACTTTCTCTTTGTGAAATTTTAAAAAATCCCCTTCTTCTTTTCCTTTCCGTCCTACCTTTCAGACAGTTAAAAATACTGTTATTTGTAAGGATGTTACATGGTGATGGAAAGAATCTAACACAAACAGGCTGTGTTATGGGACACGATTGTTCAGCTTGAGGACTGTTACCGGGTCTCATGATGAGGTACAGCTCAGAACTTCCTTAGGTAAAGACAACAGAGGTTAAAACCATGTGACTTCAAGCATAGTTCAAGGAAGTGTGTGTGTGTATGTGTGTGTGTGTGTGTGACCAAGAACACAGAAGACTGAGGGGCGCCTGGGTGGCTCAGTTGGTTAAGCATCCAATTTTGGCTCAGGTCATGATCTCGTAGTTCATGGGTTCAAGCCCCACATTGGGCTCTGTGCTGACAGCTCAGAGCCTGGAGCCTGCTTTGGATTCTGTCTCTCTCTCTCTCTCTCTCTCTCTCTCTCTCTCTCTCCTCCTCCCCCACTCATGCTCTCTCTCTGTCTCTCAAAAATAAATAAACATTAAAAAAAGAAAAAGAACACAGAAGACTGAGCCATGAATGTTAGCTGTCAACAATCCACAGACTGCTGCATGAAGGTAAGGATTAAGGCCCAATCATCAGAAGGCAAGACCAAGACCAATGCTATTAAATTACAGAGTCGGAGTTCAGCTGTTCTTTGCAATGCTTTTTCAAGAAGTGAATTCTCAATAACCAAACATTCTCAAACAGAAGCAGTTTATCCATCTGTTTGTGGTTGCTGAAGCAAAGAGATTAGAATAAAAGAACTTTTACATTTCCTTCCAACCCCAATATTCTAGTATTCAGTGCTTCATTTGTTTTCTTTGAAACCACCTCATTCTCTGTGTATCTTCTGTTTAAAAACAAGGGGGGTGGGGAGAGGAGCAGGATAAATCCAAGGCTTTCTTAGTAAGCCTTTTGGGTGCACTAGATGAATGTGGCAGAGACGGTTATTTGTTCAGCAAAATCTATTTCCTCTTCCTCCTGAGCCATGGCTAGACTATATTTCCCAGCCTGTTTTGTAATTCAGTGTGGACACACAACCAAGTTTTAACCAATGAAAAGTGAGGATCCATGTGCGTCATGTCCAGGCTGGCATGTGCCTCTCCCCACCAGCTGACCGGAGAGCCCCCCTCAGGCCGAGGGCTCCAAATGATGGATGGAAGAAGCTTTCCGCCCAATCCTCCCCTACGCCACTCTATAACTTCCTCCTCGCTGAGGGACACCTGCTTCAGACTGTTAAATGAGCAACAGTAAGCTCCCACTTGTGTTTAAATCATTATATATTTTGGGGTCTATTCATTAAGGCAGCCTGGCACTGTATTAATGTACTCAGCTATTCACATAATGGCTCTGAAGCATTCTGATTTCTTGAACTAAAATCTCAATTATTGGAACTAAAATCTCAGTTTCTTTGTATATAGTCCCAGAAGCTAATGAATATTTTAAGTACGATTACCCAGAAGGCTTTTCTTTTGACAAATGTATACAGTTTGTACTCAAAGCATGGTTTGCTTTTTTCCCTTAAAATAGCATATTTTTCAAAATGTATTTGATGCTATTTAAAAAATATATTTGGTAAGCTGGATGCATGTACCATACTTCTCAGTATACACTGTGTACATTTTCTTCATTTCTATGTCTTCGATATTTGCATGTTATTTTTACAAGGAGTGTGTTCTGCATTGTAAAGGAGCTTAGTACATCGTATCAAGTCAACATGGACTTTTTTCCATTTCTCTGTGAAACACAGGAACTCTTTCTAGACGTTTTTCACAAAACCTAACTGATAAAATTATTTGATGGCTAAAGACTGAGACGTATGAATAAGAGGATACATACAAAATACACTAACAAACTACAAGGTGATTTCTGATGAAATGAACCCAGAACTAAGCATCCAAACAAGTACTATTCTCTACAAAGTAGTCACTTAGGGAGGTTTATGATGAAAACATTTCTTGCACTCTTCTTCTGAGAAAACGCTGCACTTTACACCTTCATATGATACACACATACATGCATACACACACACACACACACACACACACACACACACACACAAACATACGCACGCACAGTTCCCAAGTGCTACTACCAGCTTGACCAGGAAGCCACCACATTTATCAAAATATTCTATATTTTCATTAATATATTTCATAAAAATAAGTTTGATATGAATTCACTAACAAGCAAGTAAATAAAGACAAACACATACACTTAATTAAAACAAATGGGTTATTTTCCTTCTCAAGGTCCTTTCCCCCTTAGGGATTCAATGCTATACTTCATAACTTCATATCTTCAGAATTCTCTCATTGTATTCTTCCCTGAATACTGAGTTAACTTTTAATTAGAGAACTTCTGCAATCGCTGGAAACACAGATCCACAAATCAATTTATCATACACGTTCGGTTAAAGGAAAATAAAAATACAAAAACATCTGTATGTCTCACCTCCCATCAAACCTGTGCTTCAGGAAATCAAAGAGGGCTTTCTGCATCATGTCTGTTACCTTTGCAGAGGTGAGAAAAAAAGAATGAGGCAAACACACGCAGAGAGACAGAGAGAGAGAGAAGTCAAAAGTGAGAGAGGTGGAAGGGAAGGGCACTTTGTCTGAGCAAAGACCTCACACAGCCTGTTGTCTCTGAGGGGTAGGGCAGGTTGTCCTGGAAGGCGTTTTTCATGCTTAACCACTTACACTTACTCAAATTTCCCCCTTGGTTGTCCTCTAGGGTGTTGAACGAGCCAGCAGTGTTCACTAGACCTAAGGCAGACTCCCTTCCCTTATTAGGTGATAGAACTGCAGCCAAGAGACCACAATAGGCTGGCTTTGCTCGCAAGTGCTGCCTGTCCTTGACTCGCCCGAATGGGTGCTTGCCTCCAGTGAGGACCAGCTAGAACTCCTGTGGCCAGCCCTGGGCTTGGCCACCTGCTAGTCTGTGCATGCTGGTAGAAATTCTCCATTCCTACAGATCACTCGCCTGCTTTTCCTCGGACATTCCCCACTGAGAAGCGAAGGGAAGGGGGAGAGGAAGGAAGGAGACACATTTTAATGTCCCACCCCACCTAGTTTTATCTATGCTAGCACGAAATCAAAATGGAAACACCCGAAACATAGTACTTCTAAAGCCTTCACTCTTTTCCTTCTTACATGGTATTGTTTAATCTCTGAACAAGTTCATTAATACTTTCGTGGACAATTTTTCCCTTCTATGTGTCTTTGAAATAAATGAGAGAAATATTTGGTGGGGTATGGCATCATGTTGAGCACCCAGCAAGGTGAGGTTTGTTGGTGCTTTGAAGGTTTAAGTTTGCTGGAAGATTGCCTACATTGTTCTCTTGTGCTGTTCATACTCATTTATTTATTTATGCATTTATGTATTTATTTATTTAGTTTTACGTAAGCTCTACAGCATGGGGCTTGAACTCACCACCCTGAGATCAAGAGTTGCATGCTCTACCACTGAGCCAGCCAGGTGCTCCCATACTTGATTATTTCCAACAGTAACGGGAATGGTTGAGACTACATAGTCCTTCACTTTGAATTTAATGCAGAGGAAACCTTTGACCATAACTTTCCATCATAAGTGTTTTAAGGGATGTATTTCTAAACAAAGTGATACATATAAGATAAGAAGCGTGCCAGAGAGGGAAGAAAGAGTGAAGGGCCACATGAGCCCCATGCTGTGCCACCCGCCTTCACATGTGGAGAATTGGCCCCATCGGTACCTCTCTGTAAGCAGACCCTAGAGGAGCAAGCTCCCAAGGCTGTCTCCTAGGTTCTTGATCAAGAACTGAAGCATAACAGACTGGTATTTGTACCTCATAACCCTTCAGTGACGGCCCCACTAACACCACCGGACGCATGGATGGCACAACATCATAAGGAGGGATGTGCTCCGTCTGAAAAAGATGATTGGACAGCATGACAAGGTGAGGATAAGCATGCCTTCTCAAAAGCCATAGCATCGTAATTCTCAGGTCGAGCACAAAATGATTACCACAGGTCCCCACCAAGGAGGCTCATCCCTTATTTTATAGCCATTTGGGTCACTGAAATGGAACATTGCAGGCACGTGCGGATAGAAACCTTAAAGGAAGATTTAAAAAGGAAACACAACTTACCACTTTTTGCTTCTGTTTTGCTAAAAGACAACAATGAGAGCCATATCAAAATACGTAATCTCTGTAAATGATAGTACATGATTTTAAAAGATGGAAGAATGTACCAATTTGTCCCTATAATTCTCATCATGTCACTATTACCCACTCTGTGGAGAACTACTCTATTATTTCATTCTGGATGAGACAATTTTGAAGACAAATGAAAAAACAGACAACTTCTCCCCGTACGAATGACCTTATATCCTGATTTCATGTTGGGTGTGGAGGGTGGACTGCATGAAAACACTAGAAATTCTGGGCCAGCCATGGGCCATAGGTTGTTTCCTGCTACACACAGCATACAGTGTGGCTGAGAACAACTTGGACAAATACAATTTGATAAAAAGGAATTAAGAACGACGATTTGGGTAAAAATGATCATCACCTTAATCAGGAGTTATTTTTGGATTTGTAATTTTGATGAACCAGGAGAAAATTCTGCAGTCCTTTGTGTGTTCGTTAAGTTTTTGCCTACTTTCCAGGATAGTGACATATTTTTTCCTACTATGCTGTTCTTAATTTCAAATAAATTTATAACCATTTATTCCTGTTCTTTCTTGTTTGTAATAGTGTAATAGGTTTGTAATGACCTAAATGTCCAACAAATGGGGATGAGGCAAAATACATTTGATACCTGATTAAACTGATTTTGTTTAAACTGGTTTTGTTTGGCCATCAAAGTGGGTCCAGTCCATCTGGGGACAACCCAGAGACCTAGTTCAGTTCAGAGCACAGGATATGAGGAAAGATCCACCCAAACAAGGACCCAGCACTCAGCACTACTCCAGAACCAATCCCGTTTCCTGCAGTTACGGTAGGCCAGGCTAGACCTTACACTTGCCCTTCTGAGTTGGTAATACTGGATGCCCTAATGCAGCATCAATTCTGGGCCAGAACAAATTAGACTATAGGAGTCAGGGAATGTGGTAGAAGGAAAAATCCTGCTTGAATGTCTCCATAATTATCAAATATATAACAACTCTTGATTGGACCACCACTGTCCCTTCATTTCCATTAATTCCAGGGCTTGGTTATCTGCTTTCCAAACAGAAATGAGGTCATCTGGGCCCATTTTCTGCTTCAACCTTTCCAGTCTCCACAGCCCAGGCTGTACCATCTTAAAGTTCCCCATGGAGACTGAAATAGAGCATTTTCTTCAGAGTCTACAACTTTTTTTTTTTCTTTTTAATTGGCTTTCACCATCTTAAAGTCTGTTGGGTTCTTGGGTGGAATAATGAACTTGCTTCAGATTGGTCTGCACAATGGACAGTTACTGGCTCTGGGGGGTAAACAAGATTTTTCAAAATCAGATTGTAATGATTTGAATTTTTAGTATCACAAGTACCCTTTAAATCAAATCAAATTACTATAGAAAGCAAATGAGCAATGAAGAGTTAAGTAGAAGAATTTTTAAATCAAAGCCTTAAATTATTTCCAAATTAGTAAAACTACTTGTGTGTATGTTCAAATCCTAAGGGAAAAAAAAAAAACATTCCATTAAAAAAACCCCTAAAAACCTTACCTGTTGATGTGGGTGTTGCTCGAAATGTCCCTGATACCATTTCTCCAAGACTTGAAGAAGAATTTCCACTGGATTTCCTAGGATAGAGAAAAGGAACTTAGGACTCATTCCCCAGATTCCTTGAAAATAGAACTTGAGAGTACAAAGCTTTCTTTGGCCTAAATCCTACTAAATAATTCAAAACACACCAAATCCTGCCTTGGCGAAGAACTTCAAGAATCTGTCCACATGTTTTCTTTGACCTATTTCTTAGAGACGGTGGGGAACAAACTGGACCTGGAAATACTATGCAAAAATATCTCTCCTAGTTATTCAATACAGAAATTAGGCAGAAAAATCACTGACAGAAACACTCTTGTGAACTGATGCTTAATACCAGTCACCAATGTACCAGTCGGATGTCAAACACAGCTCAAAACAGCTGTAAGACCTAGAAAAAAAACATTTCCTTTTAAAAGTGATTTTATTGGGTGGTGCCTGGATGGCTCAGTTGGTTAAGCATCTGACTCTTGATTTTGACTCAGGTAATGATCTTAATGTTCTGGGTTCGAGCCCCTCATTGGGCTCCACACCGATAGTGCGAAGCCTGACTGAGATTCTGTCTCTCCCTCTCTCTCTGCCCCTCCCCTACTCACGTGTGTGAGCTCTCTCTCAAAATAAACTTTAAAAATAAATTTTTAAAGTGATTTTATGGGAGTCAGAATTAAAAAAAAAAAGGTAAGGATTTTGTCACAAAAAACATTAGTTGTGACCTACTGGGCAATTGTTCCATCAGTCTCCTCTTGCTGCTTTGGAAGCTTCCCAGAAGCCCACAGAGTCCCTTGGGAGCCTACCTTCCTAATGTTCTTCCCTTTTGTGCTTGAGAGTATGGTCCTTAGGTCAGAACTATCTAATTTCTCATCCTGGCTTTTCCCCTTACTAGTCGTGGTAACTTGGCACATCATATTTCATGTCTTTGAGCCTTAGTTGCCCTATCTACAGAAAAAGTTACACCTCACAGGGTTGTATAAGATCATGTCTGTGACCTCTTGGTTTTACTCCTGGCCTGCCACAAAAAAAAAAAAAAAAGCTTTTATTCAAAAGTACATAACAACATAATAAAATAATAATAATAAAATAACAATTTTGGAAATGATAAAAATTCATTTATTATTTCATACAACAAATATTTACTGAGTGTCCACTGTTCTAGAAACTAGGAATACAACAGTAGGGGGGAAAGACAAAATCCCTTCCTCACAGAGACAGATTTTAGTGGGAGATATCACTATCAAACAGATGAACAGGTAAATACATAGTATTTCTGACAGTAATAATTGCAATAGGGAAAACGAAGTCAAGGAGAGAGATAGGAAGTAAGGGAAGGGAAGTGGGTACAATTTTAAAGATGGTGGCAGAAAAGGGGTCACTGAAAAGAGTATATCTAACAAAGATCTGAAGCAGATGAAGGAGTGAGCTGGTGGAAATATGAAGCAAAGTGTTCCAATAAGAAAAAAAACTAGCAGGTGCAAAGGTCCTAAAGCAGGAACGTGTGTTCCTCATGCATTTAAGGAGCAGCAATCGAGACAAAACAGTCAAGAGAAGAAGGGATAAGAAGAATTAATAATTAATAATATTACAGGCATGTTATATACTAAAGAAGATTGGCAATTAAAAGTGGGGCTCACTGTACTTTTGTGATGTTTTATCATAATTAAGAAGTTCCCATTAAGACAAAGGCAAAGGGCCCCTTAAGAACACAGGAGTTTTTGAAGCAGAAAAGGATCCAACAGAAAAAGGAAGTGAGAGTCAAGAGAAAGAACTGCTTCTATTTTAGGTCTTTCAAAAAATGATAACTTATTAAATTCATGCTTCCTTGTAGGTTCTCAATATATGCAGGCTCAGGATGATTCTGATTTCTCTTTTCTCAGGCTTTGTTTGTATCCTTGGGACCTACAAACACCTGCACTCTGAGATTTTTGTAGCTATTTCTTTAGTGTACTACAGGTTGATTCATCTGAAGTTAGACAGAATCTTCACTCCATTATCAAGAGACGGTAGATGCCGTGGGGTGGAGGCAACCTCTAGCCCTGGAATGTACCATATGTACCACTGCATTACATGCCCGCTTGAGAGAGGGTCTCTGAAAGTTAACCAGGAAGAGCCCTGATGCCAGGTCAGGTCAGGTTCCCACTTACTGTACTGAGAAAGAATGCCCCGTGACCATCACGGAGGAGACCTTAATCTCCAAGCAGGGTTTGCTGAGGCCACAGAAAAATCTCCGCTGTGGAATTCATGGTGATGCCAATGAGGTGAGACTTTAGCATGCAGTGGGGAGAATGAACTCTCTGAAACCCCTCTGTGTCAATGTCAGAAACACCTCATATACAGAAAAGTACCTTTTACTCTCAAAGCATACATATTTAACCTGACGAGCAAACTTGAAAACATCATCTTATTTTTCTACTCACCTCCCAAAATAAGTTTCTAAGAAGGAAGGAGACTTACCCTCCGTGAAAACGTCCCCTTTTTTGTTCTTGCTGAATCCGTATATTCTCCAGTCTAAGTGGACTTGGGATGAAGCCAATCTCACAGCCCTCTTTCACCAGTCTTCCTATCCACCAATCATTGTTGTATTTCTGGAATGCAGAAATAAAACTGCTATCAATAGTAATTCACTTATCTTCACATTCCATTAATTAATTTCTGGGGGTGAGAAGAACCAAAAATACTCTTTACATTATACTATACTATATTATATATACACACTACATTATGTTATACTATGTTATACATATCAGAACATGTATCGACTAAAGCCAAAGTCTACAACCTTTGTATCTAAAGGCCCAGATAGTAAATATTTTAGGCTTTGGAGGCCACATGGTTTCTGGTGCAACTACTTAAATCTGCTATTGTCACATGTTAGTGGCTATAGACAATACGTAAACAAATAAGCATTTGCTATGGTTCAGTTAACCTTTTCTTTCCAAAAAAGACAGCAGGCTCTAATCAGCCTGCAGGCCACAGTTTTCCAATCCCTGGACTAAAGTTGGGTCCTAATCTTTGGATTCCTTTGGTCCTTGTCAAGAAGCCCTAGCCAAGTCTTAAGGAATAGATAGTATAGGGATAATTATGCATCAATGTAATTGGAACCCTGGAGAACAAGACCGACAAGTCTGAGATGAAATACACTCAACTGTCTGTTATTTGTCGAAAAGTTTCAGGTAAAGATTCCACGATATTGTCTGTAATCTACTCTCATTGGAGAACTGTAATCTTCCAAACACTGGTTTACAAACTAAGGTCCATCTCACTATCTGCTGAAAAAGGTTACTCTTACAAAAGAAGTATATTGTATATATGTGGAATTTTTGAAATAATCTCCAGATGGCCTGAAGTTCAATAGAAAAACCAGGATTTCCATTTCAATAAAGTTCCATGACACATAAATTCAGAAAACAAACCCACACAACTGCTTCAGACAATATGGGGTAAGACCCTGTGAACGTGATCCTATTCGGTGGGTCAGCAAAATTGTATTTGGAAATACAGATTTGCTGGAGCCTAAATCAGAAGGTATATTTAATCCAAGCCACCTGCCTCAAAGGAAGGTTTCAGGTAGATGATTTTTAGAATGCAGGTATCAGTCCTATTGTTTACATCCTCCAGAGATGATTCCAAAAACTCTTGTCTTCATCAGCGTGGGGCAAGGTAATTCTCTCTCTTTTTGATCCAAAAAGTATCTGCTTTTTTTCAAAATGAAAAACTATATGTAGTACACTTTGCTTAGCTCAGAGAAAAGGGAAATTTATGTGTATATGACATTGATACACTGTGAAGGAGGAATGGATGGTTTCATTAACTCACTGCAGCATGAAATTCTGCATAGCTTTGAGTAATTCTCAGCAACAGCCTCACACTCAAAAGCAAAATGATATGCCTTAGGGATTTGGCCTTTATTATGCACACAGCTCCTACATGAGGCATGCATGGCATGTAGTATGAGACTGCACTGAAGAAATGTGAGTTGACCTAATATAAAATCTTGAACAATCTAAGTCGTGGTTTTTCTATCTTCCCATCTTTTATTTCAGGATAACAGGGCTGAAATAACAGGCCTGTTTATTTTGGAATTAACAAAAGGCAAGAGAGCCCTTTTAGAATCTTTGGTGCACAGGTCTGGAATTCAAATCTTATTGTGGTGGGGACAAAGCAGACTATGAGTCAGAGTGTCCTAGGGTTTAAGTTATTTCCTGAACTTTAACTGAGCCTGCTAGAACGCTAATTTATTAAATGATACCCAAGTGACCTTAAAGGGCTTCCTGAAATGGTTAATGGCAACTTCCCAACCTGTTTTAGCCTAGTTCTAGGAAACAGCGAAAGCTTGGTGATAATCTGGCTCAACATAAATGAAAAATTCTTTGAGCTACCGGGTGGGAAGTTGCTAAGTACATTCAGGAGCTTAACACACTCGTCATTTGGTGTATGTGATAAGCAGAACTGTAGCTTTTCTTTAAGGTTAAGCTTCTCATTACTAAAAAAAGTGTTTAAAACAGTGCATGAGAGATGGCTTTCTAGATGACAGATGAGAGAGGAGGCTACAACCTGATTACACAAATGTGTGCAAATGTGGATGTTCCAGGAGCTTGTGCCAGCGTTCTGGGGAGGTCACCTTAGTGTTGCTCCAGTCCTTCTCATTTTCATCTCCCTAACATGATTAGCACTTTCTCTTTCTAAGATGTTTTCTTATCTGTTATTGCAAGCTCTGAAAACAAGTGGCTCTAGTCCACATAGGATTACCAGCTCAATACCATCCATCCACCTGCCTGTGTGAAGAGAAAGTCACTGATCAAGGGACATGTAGATCAAAAAGCAACCAACGAGACAAATGGAGAATATTGATGGCATGGAGGAAAGCAATAAAGTATAGCAAGATTGGAATGCAGGTGTGAGTGGGTATGGATAAAATATGTGAGAACCTCTTACCTTTTAAAATTCTGCTTCTCCTTTGAAGCAAGGGGTGTTAGTGACTAATGAACATGGTTTGGTCATTTTTGGTGGAAACGGTGAGACAATCAACTTAACCATTCAGAGGCTGAGGCACATGTTTCAGGCTGAGAGTCCCCGTCTACTAGGCAAATATGGATATCCTCACCACATACACCTTGAGAATGCAGAAGCCATCAAGTCAGTGCTACCCCAGCTTCCTGTTACCAAGGCTCTGAACTGTCTGTGCCTTCACCCATCCTTTCCCTGCATGTTACAATAAGTAAGTGGATACCCTGCTGTCAAAAATCTCTCTCCCCTATTCAGGGTCTGGATCCCACCCTTCTTGCCTCCCCAAAAACTTTACTCCATTGCCTATCTTTCCTTTCCCATCAACCTTTCCCTCTCTCTGTTTGTTAATATCAGCCTGTGCAGATGCTCCAAGCACTTCTCTCTCAAAGAAAACCTCTTTTGACCTCACATCCTCCTCAGTCCACTACCTGGTCTGTGTCAGCTTCCTTGAAAGCATGGTCTATGTTTACTAAACATACTTCCTAACCCCCTTCCCACTTCATCCCCTTTCATTTGGCTTCCAGACCATGGTCCCAGTGACTTCCATGCCCCTGGCCACCATGTTGCCGATCCAACGTTCGTTCCTCACTCCTCATCTTAGGCAACGTGTGACACCATTCACTACGGCTGACCTCTTCCTCCTTTTGTACACACTCCTCTCTTGATGTCTACATATCGCTCTGTCCTGGTTTTCATCCTATATCTCAGGCTTCTCCTTTTCAGTTTCCTTATTTGTTGAGTCATTTCACATAGCCCACCTCTGCAGAATGGAATTCCTTTGGGTTTGATGCCCGGCTGCCTTCTCTTCTCCCTCTAATCTCCTTTAAGTGACTTTGATCATTGACCCACACAAACTAGTGATCTAAATTTACATCTTTGGCCCAACTCTTTTCCTTGGAGCTCCAGATTCTTATATCTAACTTCTACTTGATATCTCCATTGAGATGTCCACTCCTCATCTGTCCTCTTCCCACCCTCATCATCTCCATCCCCATTGATCAATTCATAAACCTTGATTTCCTTGATCATGCTGGATTTCTCCCTCAATCTTAGTTTCTACACCTGACCCATCACCAGCACGCTTCACTGAATGTCTGCAATAGATCTCAAGTCTGTCTACTTCTTTCCATCTCACTGCTGTAATGCTGGCTCAATTCCATTATCTCTCACTGAGAATGGTTCTAATGGGCTCCCTGATTCCATACTTATCCCACTCCAATCCGTGGTCTCTATAACAATCAGAGTAGCTTTAAAAAAATAATAAATTCATCCCATTCTTCTGCTTTTAAGTTTTTAATGGTGGGGAGCCTGGGTGGCTCAGTCGGTTAAGCGTCCAACTTCGGTTCAGGTCATGATCTCACCGTTCGTGAGTTTGGGCCCCACATCGGGCCCTGTGCTGACAGCTCAGAGCCTGAAGCCTGCTTTGGATTCTATGTCTCCCTCTCACCCGGCCCCTCCCCTGCCCGCACTGTGTCTCCCTTTCTCTCTGTCTCTCAAACATAAGTAAACATTAAAAAAAAAGTCTTCAATGGCTTCTCATTCCACTTAGAATAAAATCTGGTCTCATGATCACTTTAAGGTTCTCCTTGACCTGTGCCCCACTTAGTTCTATAACTGTCTCCTACTACTAGGTCCCTTGTTTATTGCATTCCAGCCATATGGCCTTCTTCTAGTTAACTGATTGTGCCAGTCTATTTTCCTACTATAGGGCCTTTGCACATAGTGTTTCCTTTCCCTAGAAGGCCTCCTTTTAATCGTTTTAATGCTGACTCCTCTTCATCCCTCAGGTGTCTGCTTAACAGTTATGTTCTTTAAAAGGCCTTCTCTGATCACCTCTGTATTTAAAAGTATATATAACCTCCTCATCCCTATATTTTAATTTTTTTTAGCATCTGCTTCATTTTTTCCCCAAAGACACAATTTGGAAGTATTTGTTCATTATCTGTCTCCCCACTAGAATTTAAGTCCATGAGGGAAGGAAATCTGTCTGCTTTTTTATAGCCTGTCAGACAACATCTGCCAGGGCCTGGCACATACTAAATGTTCAAGAACTATATCTTGAACGAGTAACTTAACAAAGGAACAAATGTAGAGCCTCAGCCAGCTCACATGGGCACAGCAAAGAGAGATATCTGTAGACATCCAGATGTTTGACCTACTTGCTATCAAGTGGTTAAAATGTTAAAACTATGTACGTCTTGGTGTCAATAATGCCATCTTAGAATGCAGAGTTTCTTTTTTTTTAAATGAAATTTATTGTCAAATTGGTTTCCATACAACACCCAGTGCTCATCCCAAAAGATTCCCTCCTCAATACCCATCACCTACCCTCCCCGCCCTCCCACCCCCCGCATCAACCCTCAGTTT